CTGAGGGGCTGGTGGCACGGCTGCCGCTTCCGTCCTGCCTCCCACCGGCGAGGCAGCAGCCCTTTCCCCCTCCGCGTCCCGTATCCAGCACGACCCACCGGCCCTAGGCCCGAGCAGCAGGCCCTCGAGAACCCTCGCTCCCAGAAGCCAGGGAAAGTGAATGAAGGAATGAACAAATGAGCCCCAACACCCCAGTGAGCGTGCGGGTCTGGGTCAGGCCCCTCCGTGGGGGCCGCAGGGACCAAGAAGCCCCCAGCTCCAGAGGCGCCACTGGGGACAGGGAAATGTCCCAGCCGGGGTCTGGCTGGAGGGAGATGTGCCCCGCCCACCAGGGCTTATGAAACGCAGGGAGGAGCAGTGCGTGTTGTGGAGGGGGGCCTCGCTCACACCCCAAGGGAACATTCCCATTTTGGAGACAAATGGAAACAGATGTCAGGAGACGGCCCTAGGATCCTAGATTCCGTTACATCCTCTCTGCGCGGACAACCCTGGCCTGCACACCTACTGTGTCTTCCGGAAGCTTCTGTCCCCCCTGCCCCTCGTCTGTGTTCTGTCCCTCATCTCCCCCCATCACCACCACCACTGGCGAGAATCTGTTCTTGGCATTCGTCGTTCCAACCAAAAATGGGGTTTTCTCCTGCACATGGGGTCCCCAACCCAGGCCCAGGGCTCAGGTGTGGCTTGTGTGGAAAGAGGAAGCAAGTGGGGGAGTCAGACTCGGGCTCCTGCCTGCCCAGGCCAAGCCGGCAGGCAGCACCCAGAGGAGAACAAAGGCCACAGGCAAGCAGGCAGGTGGGGGTGGGCGGGCTGTAGGCCGGCCTCAAGGGGCCCCTGGCACCTGCCACTGGCGGTCTGTCCCCATGCCAGGGCCTTGTGGGGCTCACCCAACCCTCGGGGCTGGGCAGAGGTGACAGGCATGCGGGGGCCCCCACGGGCGGCTCCACCCAGTGACTCAGTCCAGGCTGGGCCTCCCCAGGGAGGACAGTGGTGACCTGTGGGTGCCAGGAGGTCCTCCTGGCAGGTGTGAGCCCTGGGGCGCCCTGGACCCAGAGAGGGCCTTTCTAAGCCTCAGTTTCTTCATCTGTACAATGGGTCTAATCTCTCGGTCATGGGGACCTGATAGCCAAATGTATGGATGCAAAGAGTCACCTGTAGAGCCAAAGGGGGGGGGCCTCTGATGGCCCATCTGGAGGGCAGACACGGGGCGGGTCACAGATGCCACTGGCCCAGTGTCCTGCACCGAGCGAGGCACACAGCTGGTAGTCAATAGCCGTGCGGTCCGTGAGTTTGTGGAGGCCTCTTTAGGCACAGTGGCCCCAGAGCTGCTGTTTACACAGTCTGCGTGAGGCTGGGGGCCCCGAGAGGCCTGGGCCCCAGCCTGCTCCTTGAGAAACCTCCCCAGGTTGGGGGGAAGCTGGAGCAGGTCTAGACCTGTAGTGTCAAGGTTGGGCCACAGGGAACGGCAGGGGACTGAACGGGCCTTTGTGCTGCCCGGGACACGAGTCCATCAGTGGGGAGAGGCTGAGCGAGGAAGGCTCAAGCCATGGGCACCCACTCTGTAGCCATCGCTGTGCCTTCGTGTTCTCGACGCAGAAACTGAGGCCCGGAGGGTGTCAAGAATTTGCAAGAGGCCACAGTGAGGCAGGAAGGAATGAGGAATTCGAACCCAGGCCCCAAGACCCACACCTGCTCTCCAGGCGTGCAACACAGGGGAATTCTCTGAGGCAGAAAGGGTCAGGGTGAGGGTCAGCCTACTCTGGGTGCAGCAGGGGGGGCTTGTGCCTTCGTTGGGAGGCCTGCAGCCCTCTGGCATCTCTTTAGTCTTCTTCACTCACTCCTCACCCTGGACCACCACTTTGCTTCCTGGGTTGGGGGTAGCACTGAACTAGGGTGATTTGGAGTTTCCAGGTATGAGTGGAAAAGCATTCCAGGCAGAGGGCACAGCAAGGACAACAGCCTGGAGGTGAGAATGAGCCAGGCAGGTTCTAAAACACCAAGAGAACCTGGTGGCCAGAGTCTAGTGTGTCAGGAAGATGGTGGCCTCTTCCCAGGCCTGGAAGGGAGGGTGGCTTTCTGGGGACACAGGAAACCAAGAAAGATGGTGGTATTTTCCTTCTTTCTCTCTTCTCTCTTTTTTCCCCCAGATTTTATTGATTTGAGAGAGAGAGAGAGAGAATGAGCAGAGGCAGAGACAGAGGGAGAAGGAGGAGAGTCCCCGCCGAGCAGCGAGCCCGATGCGGGGCTCGATCCCAGGATCCCGGGGACCATGACCTGAGCCGAAGGCAGAGGCCTAAGCGACTGAGCCCCCCAGGCGCCCTAAGATTCCGGTATTTTCGGTTCCTTCGTTTGTAATTCGATTATTCCCTTCTGTGACTGAGCCCCCCAGGCGCCCTAAGATTCCGGTATTTTCGGTTCCTTCGTTTGTAATTCGATTATTCCCTTCTGTGCGGTTCGAGGAGCCCTTGGATGTGGGAAGAATGTCGGACGTCGAAGGAAACAGACCATGGACCATCAGAAAGCTGGGTCCTGCCTCAGCCCTGCCCAGGCGCAGGTCCAGACTGGGGGGGAGCACGCCGAGACTCGGGTAGGAGAAAGCACCAGCAAGTCAGAGGCACAGGGCGAGCTGCGCGTGGGCCTCTCGGACCCTGAAACAGCGCCGGCTTCCGCGCTGCCAGCAAAGGCGCACATGCCCGCTCTCAAGACCCAGCACCGGGGCCAGCCCCAGGAACTGAGACTCGACCTCCTCCGAGAGGCCGCGCGGGCGGGCCCGCACACCTGACAATAAAACCGCAAAGCCCTCCCCCATCGCTTCTCGGGGACTTACGCCCCGAGAGTCCCACCTCTTTCTTCTCTGAACCTCGCGGAAGAGGCGGGGAGGGGGCGGGGCCGCATCGCGAATGGCCGCCGGTCACGCCAATCAAACTGTCGCACCCTTCGATTGGCCACCGCTGTCCAGCCTTATCTTCCCGTCTCACGGTGCATGCCTTCTTGCGTCACCAGTGCGTTGCCAATCCGCGTGCGCCTCCGCGCTGGAAGATAGTCCCGGCCCCCTCCCCGCGCCCTTAGCCGGCGCCCCCTGCTCCCAGGCCCCAGTTCCCACGAGGCCCGCGCCGCTTCCCGCGGGCGCGCAGCTAGACGAACCGCGCGGTTCGCGAGCGGGAGGCGGCGGAGGGATCCGCGGCGGTGCCGGGCGGGGCGGAGCGCGGGGCGGGGCCTGTCGGGGGCGGGGCGGCGCGCGGGGCGGGGGGCGGAACATGTCTCCCGCCGCAGGAAGATGAGGCAGCGGCGGCGGCCGCGGGCGTAGCGGGCAGGACCGAGCCCAGCGACGCTGGCGGCGGGCAGCGCGAGCTCCGCAAACGCCGCCTCAGCCAGCGCCCCGGCCGCGCACGGGCCCCGCGGGGCGGGCCGCAGGGGGAGGGCCGGGCCACGCGCCGCCGCCGCCCACGCGCGACCCTCGGGGGCCCGGCGCGACGCCCCTTTGTCCGGGGGGGCCGTTCATGCCGCCGCCCCCCGCGCGCTGCGGGCCCGGCCGCGCGGAGCAGGTGAGCACGCCGGACACCGGCGCCCGCGGCTTTGTGCGAAGTCCGCCCGCCCCCTCCCCCCGCGGCCGCGGGCCGGGACCTCGGGGCGGGGGCGCCGTCCGGGGTGCGCCCCGCCGCGGCTCGGGCGTCATTGTTCTCCAACTTTCCGCGCCCCCCGCCCGCCGGGCCGCACTTGGCGAAACTTTGCAGCGCGGCGGGCGGGGCGCGGGGCGCGGGCGCGGGCGGGGGCCCCTCCGCGGGCGCCGAGTTCGGAGGGGGCGGGGAGCGTCCTTTTGTCTGGCGGGGAAGGTGCGGCGGCGCGGCCTGCGGGCGCAGGTTGGGGCCGGCCGGCGGGGGGGCCGGGGCGCGAACATCTGCTGCGCGTTAGCGCGGCCCCGGGCGGCGGCAGCGGCGGGCCGGCTTCAAAGGCTCCTGGGCCGCCGCCTGCACCGGCCGCGGCGGGCGGGGGGGTAGGGGGGGCCGGGGCGGCCGCTCGCAGCGCCTCCCCCTCCTTCCGCGGCGGGCGCCGGCCTCGGAGCCCTGCGACAGCCCCACGTCCCCACGCCTCGGACCGCCCCGGCGTCGGTCTCAGCCGCCCCGCCAGAAAGTGGTTTCGGGCCCGACGAAGTCAGCTTCGCACGCACGCCGGGGGAGGGGCGCTGGGCCGGCCGCGTCCCGCTACCGCCGCGGGCTGGCCGAGCGAGCGGGGGCTTCTCGGGCTGGACCCTGGGTCCCCCCGCGTGTGAGGGGGCCGCCGCCGCCGCGGAGCCCGGGGCCCAGGCCGGAGGGTGCGCGCCCGGCTGCGCTCCGCCTCTTCGGCGGAGGGGGCGGCGGGCCCGGCAGGTGAGCCTCCACCGGCGCTCGGGAACGGAAGCGCCTGCGGCCGGGCCGGGGAAGCCGTGCTTCGGGGACACCCCAGCCCACCCCGGAGCGGCGGGCGAGGGATGTTTTCAAAGTTGCTCGAAAATAATTCCCGGATACATCGTGACAATAAAGCGAGCTGGGGGCGGTTTTTTCTGCGGTCCGAGCTGGGTTGTTTTCTTTGCGTGGGGAGGTGGTGAGGGGTGGAGGGGAGCTTAGTAGGCAGGTCCCTGCACCGGGCGCCCTCCTCCCTTCCCGTGGGGACTCGGGAAGACCGTTGAGCTTGTTTTTAGCTTTGAATTTTGGGGCGACCTGGTTTTCAACAGGCTGGGACAGTTGTTGGGGGGCGGGGGTCACGACATTTCCCGTGGGGTGGGGCCTGGGCTGCCCTCCCTCCTCCATGACGGTGGCACGCTTGGGGGTGCTGCTGTTGGGAAGGAGAGATGGGGGGGGAGAAGGGCGGGTTCTGACGCATTGGGGAAGGGACCACTCCCACCCTGCATCCCCTTTGAAATTTGTCATCTGACTCCTTGGTGGTCTTGGAGGGCTTTAGGGAATGTGTATTTGCGGACTCTCCCCTCTCCCCCCACAAGTGTTCAAACTTCCTGAGGGCTCTGGGGAGAGGTCCCTAGGGGCCCAAAGCAGGGAGTACTGGCAGCTCTGCCCCCACCCCAGGGTCAGGAAGGGGCTCCTTCTGGGAAGACCCAAGCCCTCAGGGCCGTTAGAAGAAGGGCTCTCCCACTCCCCATCTGTCCACCTCTGCCACCATCACTCAGATCTCTTCTTTGCTCTCCGTCTCCCCGTGTGTTTGTCTCCTTCTCTGTAGGGCCGTCTCTAGGCCTGAGGTGCCTCCTGTGGGTCCTGGAGGATGAACCAGCCACAGAGGATGGCGCCCGTGGGCACAGACAAGGAGCTCAGTGATCTCCTGGACTTCAGCATGGTAAGCCGGGGCCCCGCCTGGGTGCCGGCCTGCGTCTCCAGGCTTCCTGGGGCAGAAGCATCTGCCAGAAATACCCCAACAGCCCAGAGCCAGACCTCAGATTTGGCTGGCTAGAAGGGTCCCTGGTGGCTAGGGGCTGGAGGATTTGGGGGGCAGTGGGGCACGTGGGCTGTGGGCCAGCAGTGGCCTTGGCCTCCTGATCTGGAGAGTGGATGTGATCAGGCTTACGCGTTGGCGTGGGGGTAAGAAGGAGGAAGGAAAAAGAACCACCGAGAGCCAAGATGATCGGTATGGGGCAGAGAGCGTGGCCAGTGAGGGTCCCCTCCTCAGTGACTCAGCCACATGGCGGCTAGTGCGACGGGTGGTCAGGAGCCAGGGGGCCCGGGCAGGAAGCCGTGGCAGATCTCGGGAGTGTGGGCGTCTCCAGATGGGTGGGAGCTGCCCCTGTCCCTCCCGTGGCTCCAGGGGCCCTGCAGTGCGTGGCTCCTGCCTGGCTGGACAGAGCTCTGGGGAGGCTGCTGGCTCCCGGTCCTCACGCAGCTCAGCCGAGCCCGGGGGTGGGAGCGGCGGCCTCAGTGTGCTCATCTGTACAGTGGCTCATCTGCCACCGGCGTGTGGTGGTCCGTGTGTCTTCTGGGTGCCTGCAGCCTGCTACAAACACTTCCCCAAGTCCTGCTCGGGCTCCTCCGCCAGGAAGCGCTCTTGGGATCCGAAACGCTTGGGGGGGAGGGTGCTTTCAGTCTGAAGTTCACCCCTGGCAGGAGGCGGCGCAGACCACTGAGGCCTGTCGAAAACAAAAGTCCCCAAACTGAAACGACACTAGCCGTCCTGTGGAAAAACACGGCCGCAGGACAGAGGGCTCCGGCTCCGGAAGGGCCACGCTGGTATTTCTGAGCCATTTTTAAGCCCCGTTTTATTTTTGCTTCCCCGGCTGAGTAACCCAGAGCGCGGCTCACTTGTTTTCTTGTTAAACTGACAGGTCACGGGCTACTGAGCTGGAACAGACTGGGGCCGGGGTGGAGGGGGGTGGGCCCCTTCGCCTCTTCTGGCCAAGAGCTTTGAACCCTCGTTCCCCTCTCCCTTCTTTCCGGTGCGTCCGACCGTCTCCTCCGCCCCAGCTCCCAACCCATTTCACAGATGAGGAAATTGAGGCTGAGGGGTGAGGTGCCCTGTGTCTTCTCTCAGGGCGCACCCGGAGCTGCCTTTCCATTCACCGTCCTTGTCACGAGGAGAGAGGCCTGGTCTGGTCCCGGGGTGCTGAGAGCTCGGCCGTCCCCTGCCGTCCTTCCTTAGCGGCTCCCTCGTACCTGCCCCAGAGAAACCCGGTGCAGTTGTTTTCTCATCAGCTTGGTTTTAGGCTGAGGAGGGCTCAGGAGGGGTAGTGCTCATGGGGCCAGGTTCCTGTGCAGGAGACGCCGCTGTCGGGACAGTGCAAGGGACAGCTTGGCTGCGGTGCTAAGGGCTGCTGGGCCCTGAATTCTCCAAGGGGGTGAGGAGGCTCGTCGGGGCGCGGAGGGCACGTGCAGGACTGGCTTTCAGTGTGCCATGTGGTCAGGGCCCTGGGTCCCTCTCGCAGAAGAGCAGGCCGCTGCTGCAGGGTGTGAGCGGGCGTGTGGGGACGGACAGGGCCAGGGCCCCTTGTGGGCGATGCCACGTCAGCACAGCCCCTGGTACCCGCGGGGACAAAACAGAGACTTGGAATGCAACCCTCCCACCCCCAGGGGCTTGGTTCCCGACCCCCAGGCCTGGGGTCCAGTGGGTTCTGGTTGTGGCTCGGCCAGCCCCTCCCTCGGTGCAGGCGTCCGCTGCCCCCATGGGCCAGGACCCCATGTGGGAGAACAGGGCCCTGGGGAGGCTGGGCCAGTTGAGCGAGCACAGCCACGCCCCAAGCAGGGGTGCAGACCCAGTGAGAACCTGCCTCCTGCCGGGCTCCCCGCCTCCCATGAGCCCCTGCTGCCTGGCCTGCCGTGGCCAGGTGAGCATGTGGCCCGTGTTTCCCTCCTGTAGGATGGGGCGTGGGGACATGGCTCCCTATCCTAGGACTGTCCCAGCTGGTGACGCTGCCCCAGGAGTGCCGCCCACAGGCTCCGTGTCCTCAGCTGGGTGGTGGTGGGGGCTGGGGGTGTCAGCAGCTCCCAGTGAGCCCCTGGCTCCGATTGTAGCCACCCTAGCCGGAATCTAAACCTGGACTCTGGGGGTAGGGTCCGGATGTGTTTTGTTTTGTGCGGTAAAAGGGTTTGTTGGTGTTGGGTTTTCTTGGCTAATGCCGCTAAGCTGTTTAATCCTGAGGGACTTAGCATGGTGGGTTTGGGTAAACTGGGGTGGGGCGGGGGTGGCCCACACAGCACCCAGGACAACCTCCCAGTCACCTGTTGGGGGGTGGGCACTGCCTTTCCCAGGTTCCTCCAGTTTCCTGGGGTTCTGGGCCTCAGTTTCTCCTGAGGGGCCGGTGTGATAAGGGTCCCCAGGCAACCATGGGATACAGAATCTGGCACGTGGGGGCCACTTGACCCAGGTCACCCTCCTCCCATCCCAGCATCTGGGCGGCGCGGCCTCCCCACATGCTGCCACTCAGGGTCTGGGGCATGCAGGACGGGGGGATTCTGGCCTGGCGAGGGCCTTGTGCACAGTCCCCCTTACTGCTGGTCCCCGGAGCAGTACTTTAGTTTTCTAAAGCTGGAACTTAAGGAAAATCTCGTTTGGCTTCTGAGCTTAGGTAGAAAGTTTCCAGTGCTGACACCGGCTACTCGGCTGCAAACAGCAGAGTTGTTTTTTGTGTTACCACTTAAGTAAGTTCTGCACATGGTGTGTGGATCACACTCATGTCCCCAAAATCAAGAGCCGTCCGTTCAGCGGCACTGCTAGCAGCGGGCTGGGCTCCCTTGCGTGCCGTGTGGCCCCTTCTCTGCTTTTCTTGCCTGGGGTCTCCCGTGAGATGGTTCCCTAGGCAGAGCTGAACCCATGCTCCTCTCTCTCTCCTACAGATGTTCCCCCTGCCAGCGGCCCACGGCAAGGGCCGGCCCACCTCCCTGGCCGGCGCCCAGTTTGGAGGCTCAGGTAGGATCCTGTGGCTCAGGGCAGCGGGTGGCTGGTCAGGCAGCAGGGCAGGGGGGAGGCAGTCACAAAGCGGAGGTGGTTGGGGACCGTCTACGAGGAGGTGCTGTTTGAGTGGAGACATGCGGGGGGTTCAGGGCGAGGGGCACAGCCTGTGCAAGGGCCTGGAGCAGAGCCGGTGCTGGCGTGTTGGAGGAGGAGCAGAGGGAGTGGGGGGTAGGGAGGGCAGGGGGAGCGAGGAAGGTCCTGGAGGGCCTTGGGGTCTTGGCTTTTACCCCGGGGGGGGAGGAGCCTTTCTGTGACTCTGGGATTTGGGATGGAAGGGTTTGTCTGGGAGTCGTTTATAAGTGCCCCAGGGCATCTAGTGTGTTCTGGCTGGGGAAGGAAGGGGTTTTTCAGGGGCGGGTGGTGCTCAGACACCCTCGCAAGGGGGGACGTTGTGTCATGTCCGCTCCCCTCCCCATGCTGGCCCCCCTGTGCCTGAGGAAGCAGCCGCAGACTGACCGAGTTGTGTCTGAGCTGGAAATCCCCACAGGCCGTCTTGCCGCCTCCCCCAGAAATACCTCCCAGGCGCTGGGGTGCTACCCTTTGTCTGGCTTGGGCAGAGGGCCAGGCCCTGGGGGTCTTCTTGGAGGAGACGGCACAGGCGTTCCCTGGTCTCCCCCGGGCCTCTGCCCCGGTGGTCTTCCCTCCTCCGGTGCCCACTTGGGGCCAGCACCCCGAGTCAAAGCCGCAGCTCCTGGGGGAGGTGCCATCTGCGGCCCTGCCCTGATCACTTGGGATGGGGACAGGGTGTGCTCGTTCCAGCCTGGGAGGCCCCCGTCCTGGGTCTGCAGCCGGGGCCTCCTCACCCAGGTCTGTTCGAGCCGTCAGCGCCACCCGAGCCTGGCGTGGCTGGGGACATGGGACCGGGAACCCAAGGACCGGAGCTGAAGGGCATCTCCTCACTGCCACCCCAGGCAGGAGACACTGTGTCGCCTGCGGCAGGCGGCAGACCCGTGAGCCTGTTTCTTCATCTGTAAGAGGACGCGTGCCTACGGCCCGCCAGGTGCTTCTGCGAGCCCGCGGCCTTGAGGGCTTCGGAAGCTGGAGGTGGGTGCGTCCAGGAGGAGCCCTCCTGGCCCTGCCGTGAGGTCGCAGTCTCAGGCCTGGGCTTGGCCCTTCGTGGGGTCTCCCTGCTCTGAGCTTGCTTCCCCCCTCTTCTGCCTGGTGGGGCTGGTCCTCGGCAGGTGGGCCCGGGAAGCTCCCCTGCGGGCTCCCGGGCGCTCCTGGGCCCCGCCAGCCTCGTGCGTCCTCCGGGCCGGCTGGCCTCACGCGTCCTGGTCTCCGTCCCGTCCCCAAGTCAGCCAGTTCTCCCCGTGCAAGCTCCCTGCGCGTGGGCCATGGCTCCGTGGGCGGCGTGGGGGGTCTGCCTGGCCCTCCGCTCCAGCGGTGGGGGGGGGGGACCTGGAGCCGTGTGCGCCGTCGGTTTCCTGGTTTGCACCTGAGTCGGAGAATGCTCCAGAGGAGGAAGCTTTCCCGTGTGCGCTCTCCAGAGACTGTGAGGCTCAGAGCCGGGTGATGGCGTGTCGTCTGCCAGGGACCGCGGGGTCCGAGGCCACCGGACATCCGTAGCCACGCACGGACGGGCAGAGGACACTGTCGTCTTTGCAGCTTTCTCATTAGAACTGTGAACGGAGGGCGTGCTCGGGGCGAAATCCCTCCGCTCGGGGCGAAATCCCTCCGCTCGGGACTCCATCGACGACCCAGTCAGCCAGGGCCGGGCGGGGGTCCCGTGGAGGTCAGTCCCCTGAGCGTGCCTCTCTGGCCCAGCGCCTTCTCCGCTGCAGGTTGTTGCGCGTCTGCTCCCACTGGGCGGGTGACAAGGACTGTGCCGTTTCTGGGGGCATTTAGGTCGCTCATCGTGGGTGGACACCTTTTTGAAAGTTTGTTGGCCGTGAGCTCTTTTCTGATGAGTTTTCGTTACTGTCTTGAGCAAATGCAGCCCCCACTCCTGACCCCTCTTTGGAGTTGACCGTTGTCTTTGGAATCGTCCTGGATTGCTAGGAAGAGACCCGTAGGAGGAGGTCAAGGGCATCCCTCCCCAGCCGTGACCCGCACGCCCGTAGCCTGGGAGCCGACCTTGGTAGCGTCCAGACGTGGTTCAGATCTTCTGTGTCCCGTGCGCCGTACGGCTCGCGTCTGCTTGTGTGTTGGGGGGGTCTACACGCTTGTCTCCCGCCTGGAGCGCCATTAGCCCGTGATCACAGTCCAAGTGCCGACCTGTCCCTGCCTGCCGCCGCATCACACCCGCCTGCCGCCGCATCACACCCGCCTGCCGCCCTTCACCCCAGCGGCCGCTGACCGACTGTCCTCTAGCTCTGGTGTTTTGTCCAGTTGAGAACGTCAAGGACACTGAAACCACGCGAGACCGCGGGACCTTCCGAGGTCGGCTCCTCGCGCTGACCGGGGCTCCCTGGATGCCTGTCGCGGGTGCCGGCGGTGTCTTCCCGTCGCTGCCCGGTGAGCTCCCGGCAACCGCAGCACCAGTCCTGACCGCGGACTGTCTCGCTCTCGCCGAGCTCCGCGTTCCAGGCACCGACCCTGGGTCGTGGGAGTCGTTTGTCCTCACAGGGCGGGGACTAAGCGGAGGATCGTTGCTGTCGCGCTTTGTGACCGTCGCGGGTAAGCCCCGGCCGCTCCCGGTCATGGCTCTGCCGCGGCTCCTCCCGTCGGAAGGTGCTCGTCTGTTGCGATCTGTGTTGCGGCTGTTTCCGGATTTCATTTATGACTTGCTAAAGACGGAGGTTTTTAGTTGGTCCTGACGTTTCCTAGATTTCACGTTCACGCTGTCAGGTCTTTCTGCTTGTGGCATCCTGGCCTTGGGGCCGCTCTGGAGAGCCCCCAGGAGTCCCGGGACGCTGCTCGTTCGGTGGCACAGGTGGGAGGCTCTCGAGGGCCACTGCTGCCTGTTACCCGAGGCCGAGGAGCGAGGAGGGCGTGGGAAGAGACGGCAGACGGCAGAGGGCACAGTGTGCAGAGCAGGGATGGGAGGAACACGCTGGAGGGCGAGGGTCTCGGCGGAGGAGCGGTCGCTGTCGTGTGGGCGGCCGTTCCCGGCCAGTGCGCACGATGCGCTCTCCGGGGGGCTGCCCTGAGCTGTTGGCGTGGCTGGGAGCGGGCCCGAAACCGGGGCTCGTGGGGGCACCCGTCCTCGCTAGACGCCCATGTCCGCGAGAGGCTGGTGGTCCCCGGGGAAACGTCTAACACGGAGGAGAAGACACTTGAGTGCGCGCCGTACCCCGGGAGAACGGGGCCGAAAACCAGGAAGAAAGGGCCAAAGATCAGAACAAAGTAAGAAACCGGAGCGCTGGGAGATCGCGGGATTTCTGTGTGCGTGTGAACGCGGCCCGAAACGGAGCCGAGGGGTCCGGGCAGAGCTGCGTGCGGCGCGTGGGGGAGAGCGCCGGGAAGGAGCGTCCACGTTACAGCGGGGCTGTGTCCATATCCGCCTTGTGGGGGGGTGGAGGGCGCCTCCTGGGGTGCCAGATGGCCGTGAAGTTCTGTCCTCCTCCGCCTTCCCGCCTGCTCCTGCCTTGGCCCCCCCAGGGGTAGCGGCTGCGTGATCTGTCCTGCCCCTGCCCCTGCCCCTGCCCCTGCCCCTGCCCCTGCCCCTGCGGTCCTTCCACGGGGTCCCCCCACCCGTTCAGACTTGCGATTCTGGGCTGTGGTCTGGGTGCAGTCTCACCCACCGCCCTGGAGGCAGACCCTGTAGGGATGTGTCACAGTGTCCACTGCGTAGCTGACTTTGGGAGGAGCCGTCCGTCTCCACCACACTGTTTCCTGAAGCCAGAACCCGGTGTTCCCCCGTTGGTTCAGGTTCTTTGTCTTGAGCCGTGGGGTTTCGAGGAGAAACTATGGAAACTGAGGTACGAGGCCCTTGGCTTTTCTACGGTCCCTTTCCGTTCTGTCCCATAGCCTCCAGTGAGGGTGCCGTGGTCCGGGGCCCTCTCCGTCCTGCTGGCCTCCTGACATCCGTTCCCTGTTCGTGTTCGTCCCTTGGCTTGGTTTTCCCGCTGACCTGTCCAGCCGTCCTTGGGCCCCTCACCTCCCATGTCCCATGCAGACGCTGTGTGCCTTTCCGCAGTGGCCGGGGTTTCTAGAACCGCAGGTGTGTGCTCCTGGGCTTGGGAGAACCGTCAGCAGGACTAGGCCTGACGCGCGTGGTCACCTGGAGGTCCCTCCTGCCGTAGGTGTGCGTGTATCACACCCAGGGCCCTTCCCTCGGGTCCCACGTGGCGTCCACCACAAGCGTGGTCTCAGCTTTCCTTCGCCGCCGCATCCTGGCACTGTCCCCAGGACCGGCCCACTCCGGCCCAGCCCTGTGCCCGTGGTTCCCGAGTCGCGTGGCCAGGGGCTTCTGTGGGCAACCTCTGCACACTCTGGACCCGGCTCTGGGGAATGGTCTCTGGCATGGGGGACCCGGCCCGCCTCCCTGTTCGTGTTCGAGCCCCTTTCTCCCCGCAGTGATGCCTGTCATGATTTTGTCCGCGCCTCCTTTCAACTCTGGCGTGGTCTGCGGAGAAAATTCTCGGTCGGGACACACGGTGACGTGGCCAGTGGGGACTTTGCGGCTTCCAGAGTCCCCTGTCCCTGTTTGTCGGGAGGCAGAGCCCACGCTCCGGTTCTACGTCTGGCGGCTTTCCCTCTCTGTTCTCTGTCCGAGGCTCCGCCACCTCGATCTCTCTCTCACTCACCGTCGTTCCCGGGAACAGCGGAGCAGGCGTCCGTCACCGGTGCGCATCCGCCCAGCTGCTCCTCTCTCCCCGACTTCTTTCCAGCTTGTGGCGGGTGGTTTTGTTTGACCCTGGGCCGCGGGGCTGCTGTGCTTGTGGACCTCCGCTTGGGGCCTGGTGTTGCGGGGCCCGTGTTTCTGTCCCGTTGTGTTCTTGGGGGCCGTGACCGTGGTCACGTGGCCGTCCGTTTTTCAGAGATACTTGATACTTCTTTTTAAAGAACGTTCT